AGCCCACGGCGGCGGGGTCGTTGCTGGCGCGGTGCGTGGCCGCGGGCGCGGTGAGCCAGGTGCGGAGGGGATGAGATGGGAGGGGATGGGGCGGGGCGGGCCGGGCCGGGCCGGGCAGTTAAATGCTGCGGAACAACGGTTGGAGGTGTCGGGCGCCTCGGGCCCCAGTTGGGGGGGACAGGGCTGTCGAGCCGGGCTGCTCCGCCTCACGGCTGTGGGGCCGGCGGCGGCAAGCAAGGGTTTGTGATCAGGGTGTGCAAACGGCGAAAAGAAAGGAGATACTATTTATTAACTGAATAATGTATTTATTATTGTTATCATAATTATTTGTTTTACTCTCTCTCCCAAGACAAGAGCGAGAGGTCACACAGTGAAACCAGTAGGGAGTAAATTTAGGACTAACCAAACATGAACGACTTGTGCCCCCGGCGGCTGGTGGGGGCAAGGCAGTGGCAAGCGGGGGATCACCCGCAGATGCTGCTGGCACTTGAGGTGGTGAGTGCCAAATAAGGGCAGCAGCATCGTCAGCAGCCAGTGGGGATCGAGGACCACCTGCAGACGCGGCCGGCAGCGGGGTAGCGCACCACCGACAGTGTCAGCAGCATGTTTTTGAAGGGGGCATGCTACCATGATCAGGGGGTGCATGTGCACCTGTGTACACCCCCTAAATGTCGCCCCTGTAACCCAAGGAAGTTCTTTGTCACGCGGCGTCTTGCTCAAGCGCAGAGCTCCTCGCCTCCGGGTGCGGTAGAAGCTGGCAGTGTCCGCATAGCCAGATTCCAAAAAGGATGGGACCATTCTAGGTGGGAAGGAGTGTTGGTAGCTCGGGAGTGAGGGGCACAGCCTCTGAATCCGAACTTCCTGAGTCTTAAATGCTGGAGGCTGCAGGTGAGAGAGGAACAGTAGGAAAAACCCTGGTCGTACCCAGTTCACTGTCTTTCCCTCTGCCTCGGTGTGATACAGGCCTGTTTGTTGCCTAGGGAATGTAGGTCACTGCCCACAAGGAAACACTATAAGTCTCCCTTAGAAAGGGAGGCCACTAGGTAGACAGCGGCTCATTTTTGGGGACAAGTAAAGACAGGGGTGGGAGTAAGGTCAGTGGCTTAAAACTAGTGTGCCGAGGGAGAACACTGAGCAGAGCATGCTAGACAGAGCCCCCTGACCCTCAGGCGAGTCCAGGGAACCAGTGGACGCTGCCCAGTGATGCTCTGCCTGGAGACGAGATCACATGAGGGATAGGCAAGTTGCCCCGCAGTCCCAGCTAGAGTGTCCTTCCTGGTGCAATATACTGCTAATTTAGGGCCAGGAGGCGCTTGTCCAGGAAGTCCCTGTAATTGGTGGGGCCATAGATGGGGAACACCTAAATAAACAAGTGTGGGGAGGAGTGCAGTGAAAACCTAAGCAAGAGGGTCTGGGGGAAGTGGCAAAGGGGCTGAAGCCTGGTGCACTCCAGGTAGGCATGTGCCAGGGTTTTCCTCTGCTTGCAGAAGGCTAATTGCTGACAGGCTTTTTAACACATGAATGGGAAACAAGGACCCAGGAAACTATAAGTCCCCTTTAGTAATGGGGGCCACTAATGATGTGTTACTGATTCCATAAAACAAATAATGAAGAAAACGGGGACAGGAGTGGAGGTCAGAGGTTTATAACTAGTGTGCCAAGGGGGGACATCAAGCAGAGCACATTGGGCAGTGCCTGCTGGCCCTCAAACAAGTTAAAGGAACCAGCAGACACTGCCGGGTGATACTGTGCCTGGAAACAGAAAGGAAAGCAGCCCCACAATCCCTGGGGATCCTCCCAACCAGAGCCTCCTTCCTGGCTAGATATATAGCTAGCTTAGCCAGGGCCAGAAGGAGGTTAACCAGCAGGTCCTAAGACTTGGTGGAGCCACAGATGGGGAGTGTGTAAACAAGCAGTTGTGGTGAAAAGTGCAACCAGAACTTCAGCAAGAGGTTCTGGAGGAGGCAGTGCAGGGGCTATAGCCTGTCACCCTCTGAGTAGGCGTGTGCCAGAGTCTCCCTGTGCTCACAGAATGCTAATTGCTGGCAGGCTACTGGGTTAGATGGACCATTGGTCTGACCCAGTATGGTATATCTGATATTTTTATGCACTCCATAGAGAACCAGACAAGGTTCCTTGGGTGAATTTGATATCTTTTATTAGACCAACCCAAATGGTTGGAGAATAGTTATTAAGCAAGCTTTCGGGTTCAAAAACCCTTCGTCAGGCTCAGGAAGCTGCAGCAGTTGGTGTGTGCTCTTCCTGGATGGAATGAAAAGTAAACAAGCCAGGGGCTGGGCTGGGCTGGGCTGGGCTGGGGAGTCAGTTGCCAGCCATCAGCATCCCAGGATCTTACAGCTGCACCTCCAGGAATGTAGTATACCTCATCCAATGCACCAAATTCCCTGATGGAAGATATGTAGGAGAGACCAGACAACAACTGCGCACCAGAATGAATGCACACCGGAAATCCATCAAAGACAGAAACACCCAATTACCGGTGGGGGCACATTTCTCACAGGAGGGCCACTCTCTCTCCAATCTCTCAGTCCTGATCCTCAAGGGAAATTTACACAACACATCCCAGAGACGAGCCTATGAACTCCATTTCATCAACCTGCTGGAAACCTTGTCTGCCTATATCCTTAGACCAACACGGCTACAACCTAAACCCCTGCAACATGGGACTAAACATAGACATAGGATTTCCTACACTTTGCAATCCAAGAAGCTGTGCTGGAGATTTACACTGAGCCTGACGAAGGGTTTTTGAACCCGAAAGCTTGCTTAATAACTATTCTCCAACCATTTGGGTTGGTCTAATAAAATATATCAAATTCACCCAAGGAACCTCGTCTGCCTATATCTTTAGACCAACACGGCTACAACCTAAACCCCTGCAGCATAGAGAACCAGAGCACCCATCCCCATAGAGAGGAGTAGTTCAGGGTCTTGAGCTGTAGCATCACCTTGCCCACTGCATAAAACTCTGTGAGGTGTGGTTATCGGCATTGTTTATCCGAGCAACAGTAGCACCTGGAGGCTCCAGTTAAGTCTGTCCAAATATAAGAGAGTCTCCAAAGAGCCCAGAATCAGCAGGAGCTGGAACTGTTTCATCAGCTGGCCCAAGATTCTGGACAACAGTCAGTCTAAGGAACTAAGAGCACTGACAGAAGTGACATTTTGTCACCCAATTGGACCCCTGAAAACACTCATTCCAGGAGGGTACAGGTGAAGGTGCTCCAAAGCAGAGCACATTCATTAATTTCTGTTAGTCCCTCCACAGGAGCAGGGTTGAATTAATGCAGCTCAGCTCTGCTGCCAGTGCTGTCTGCAGGATGGGATGGGAGAAAGGAAGGGGAGGGAGCTGCAGCCTGGGGTTTGCCCAGCCTGTGCTGGGGGGAGGGGGCGGGGCAGCACCCTCTTCCTCACTTCTCCCCCTCCCATCCTGCAGACGGCATTAGAGCTGGGGGGTGGGGGGTGGCTAGGGGAGAGTGGCTGAAGGGGGCTGACAGACATGGAGTTTGATTCCCCCCCTCCCCCCCCCCCCCAAAAAAAAAACCCACAAAAACAAACAGCAAATGTCTGTTCGAGGGGGTGGGGGTGGAGAGGGCGGTTGCTATAACTCATGGCATTTGCTGCACGTCTGTCAACTGTCACAACCCAAAGGTGTGATTTTGTTTTGTGTGCGCTTTGGCACCACTGAATTATTTTCCCGCCAATTTGTAGCTTTCTTTGCAGTGTGCATTTCTTCTTTGCAGCACAGCAATGCACTTTGCAAAGAGTTCCCGCCATTTACATTATAATTCGAGCCCCATTATTGGCTTGCATTAAATTATTCACACGTGGCGGCTAGTGATTGGCTTGCTAGCTGTATAAAAAGCTTGAGTGCTTTCCGCCCAAGTTGGAGAACTCCACGAACACCAGGAGGAGGAGACTTCACACTGTGTGAAGATCTCTAAGCACTGCGGAGCCTATCGGACCCAGTGC